GGAAGGGAAGGGAAGGGAAGGGAAGGGAAGGGAAGGGAAGGGAAGGGAAGGAGGAATGTCTTCCAGTGGGAAGGATCCTTCTTTTCTCACTATTCCTGGGATTTTTCAATCCCTGGTGCTGGGCAGAGGGGCTGGAATTGCTCGGCATTCACAGGAGTTTATTTTGGGGGGAAATGGGATATTGGGGCTGGAATTGCTTGGTGTTCACAGGAATTTTTTGGGGACAGAGAGTGGGATATTGGGGCTGTAACAGGAATTTTTTGGGGGGCGGAAATTGGGATATTGGTGCCGCTGAGTGGGGAAACCCCTCTGATTAGTGGGGGAAACCCCTCCCTGTGGAGGGAGCAGGGACAGGGGTGTCCCCTCCCTCTTTCCCGGCCCCCGTTTTCCAGCCCCCTCTCCCCCCCAGGGCTACACGTCGTTCTGGAACGATTGCATCTCCTCGGGGCTCCGCGGGGGGATCCTGATCGAGCTGGCCCTGCGCGGCCGGATCCGCCTGGAGCCGCTGGCCCTGCGCAGGAAGAGACTCCTGGACAGGAAGGTGGGATGGGATGGGATACAGGGATGGGATACAGGGATGGGATACAGGGATGGGATGGGATGGGATGGGATGGGATGGGATACAGGGATGGGATGGGATGGGATGGGATGGGATGGGGGAGGATTTAGGTCGGTTCTCCAAGGAAAGGACGAGGGAAGGTAAAGGAATGTAAAGAATATAAAGGGAATAAAGAATATGAAGGAAATAAGGAGTATAAGGGAAATAAGGAATGTAAAGGAAATAAGGAATGTAAAGGAAATAAAGGATGTAAGGGAAATAAAGAGTATAAAGAAAATAGAGAGTATAAAGAAAATAAAGAGTATAAGGGAAATAAAGAGTGTAAGGGAAATAAAGAGTGTAAGGGAAATAAAGAATATAAAGGCAATAAAAATAATATAAAGGAAATAAAGGAGAATTTAAAGGAAACGAGGAGTATAAAGGAAATAAGGAATATAAAGGAAATAGAGTATAAAGGAAATAAAGGGTATGAAAGAAATAAAGAGTATAAAGGAAATAAAGAATATAAAGGAAGTAAAGAATATAAAGGAAATAAAGAGTATAAGGGGAATAAAGAGTATAAGGGAAATAAGACTATAAAGGAAATAATGAATATAAAGGAAATAGAGTATAAAGGAAATAAAGGGTATGAAAGAAATAAAGAGTATAAAGGAAATAAAGAATATAAAGGAAGTAAAGAATATAAAGGAAGTAAAGAATATAAAGGAAATAAAGAGTATAAGGGGAATAAAGAGTATAAGGGAAATAAGACTATAAGGGAAATGATGAAGAATATAAAGGAAATAAGGAATATAAAGGAAATAAGGAATATAAAGGAAATAAAGGATATAAAGGAAATAGAGAGTATAAGGGAAATAAAGAAGAATATAAAGGAAATAAGGAATATGAAGAATATGAAGGAAATAATGAATATGAAGGAAATAAAGAGTATAAAGGAAATAAAGAGTATAAGGGAAATAAAGAGTATAAGGGAAATAAAGAAGAATATGAAGGAAACAAGGAATAAAAAGGAAATAAGGACTTTAAAGGAAATAGAGGAAATAAGGAATATAAAGGAATATAAAGGAAATAGAGGAAATAAGGAATATAAAGGAATATAAAGGAAATAGAGGAAATAAGGAATATATAGGAATATAAAGGAAATAGAGGAAATAAGGAATATATAGGAAATAAAGGAAATAAGGAACATAAAGGAAATAAAGGGAAATAAGAAATATCAAGGAAATAAAGAAGGTCGTTTTTCCAGGAACGCTGTTTTTCCAGGAACGCCGTTTTTCCCGGGGATGCCGTTTTTCCCGGTAGCGCTGTGTTTTTTCCCAGGAGCCCTGTTTTCCCAGGATCTCTGTCCCTGAGCTGGAATCCCCTCCCTCCCCTGTGTCCCTGCAGGTGCTGCTGCAATCAGCTGCCCCCACGGGGGACGTGCTGCTGGACGAGACCCTGCGGCACATCCAGGCCACGGAGCCCCCCGAGACCGTGCCCACCTGGATCGAGCTGCTCACGGGTAGGAGCAGCCCCAAACAGCTCCTGGAAGGGGGGGGATTATCCCAGGAAAAAAAAAAAAAAAGAGGGGGCTCAGAGGGCTCGGGAATTCCCTGCCGGGAAAGGGTCGGGATCTGCTGGCAGGGAACGGGGGCGGGAGGAGAGGGGACGGCTCCGGCTGGGCCGGGTTGGACATCAGCAGGAATTTCCTCTTGGAAAAGTCCCCCCCAAATCCCCCCCCGGGGGTGTTTTTGGGGAAGAGCCTGCTCGTGGTGCCCCTGCGGGTGCCGGGGTGGGGAGGGGTTGGATCCCGGGTTGGACTCGCTGATTCCAGAGCTCTTCATCCCTAATTCCCCAATTCCTCATCCCTAATTCCCCAATTCCTCATCCATAATTCCCCAACTCTTCATTCCCAACTCTTCATCCCTGATTCCCCAATTCCTCATCCATAATTCCCCAATTCTTCATTCCCGACTCTTCATCCCTAATTTCCCAATTCCTCATCCATAATTCCCCAATTCCTCATCCATAATTCCCCAATTCCTCATCCATAATTCCCCAATTCTTCATTCCCAACTCTTCATCCCTGATTCCCCAATTCCTCATCCACAATTCCCCAATTCTTCATTCATCATTCCCCAATTTTTTATTCTCGATTTCCCAATTCTTTATTCCCAATTCTTCACTCTCAGTTTCCCAATTCTTCATTCCCAACTCTTCATCCCTAATTCCCCAATTCCTCATCCATAATTCCCCAATTCTTCATTCCCAACTCTTCATCCCTGATTCCCCAATTCCTCATCCATAATTCCCCAATTCTTCATTCCCGACTCTTCATCCCTAATTCCCCAATTCCTCATCCCTAATTCCCCAATTCCTCATCCATAATTCCCCAATTCTTCATCCCTAATTCCCCAATTCCTCATCCATAATTCCCCAATTCTTCATCCCTAATTCCCCAATTCCTCATCCATAATTCCCCAATTCTTCATTCCCAGCTCTTCATCCCTAATTCCCCAATTCCTCATTCATAATTCCCAATTCCTTATTCCCAATTCTTCATCCCTGATTCCCCAATTCCTCATCCATAATTCCCCAATTCTTCATTCATCATTCCCCAATTTTTTATTCTCGATTTCCCAATTCTTTATTCCCAATTCTTCACTCTCAGTTTCCCAATTCTTCATTCCCAACTCTTCATCCCTAATTCCCCAATCCCCAACAAAGAGATTTTTTTAGAAACCTCAAACAAAGAGCCCCCCAAAAAACCCCCCGTGGGATTTGAGCTGGAAGGTGCCCCAACCCACCCCTGGGTACCCCTGTGAGGATTCTGTGCTGATCCCACCACCCCAAATCAAGATAATCCCTCTTTTCCCCCTCTCCCAGGCGAGACCTGGAACCCCTTCAAGCTGCAGTTCCAGCTGCGCAACGTGCGGGAGCGGCTGGCCAAGGCGCTGGTGGAGAAGGGCATCCTGAGCACGGAGAAGCAGAACTTCCTGCTCTTCGACATGACCACCCACCCCGTCACCAACGCCCCCGAGAAGCAGCGCCTGCTGCGCCGGCTGCAGGACAGCGTCCTGGAGCGCTGGCCCGGCCACCCCCGGCGCCTGGAGCGCCGCACGCTGGCCCTGCTGGTGCTGGCCCACTCCTCCGACGTCCTGGAGGGCGTTTTCGGCGCCCTGGGCGACGACAGGTACGAGCTGGCCATGGCCAGGGCCAGGGACCTGCTGGACACGGACCCCGAGCTGGCGGCGGCCAAGGAAGCGGGGGGAGGCTCCGAGATGATCTGGGCGGTGCTGGCGGCCTTCAACAAGTCCTAGGGACGGTGATCCCGGGGGTTTGGGGGCGAGGGGAGAGAGACCTGGAAGGAACGGGGAGGGTCGGACCCTGGAAACCTCCCCAGATGCAGCAGGGAGACCCTGAGAGCTTCCTAAACTGCTCTGGGTGGGACTCAGACCCTAAAAACCTCCCCAGATTGCAGCAGGGAGCCCTTAAAAACCTCCCCAGACTGCACTGAGGAGACTCAGACCCTAAAAACCTCCCCAGACTGCACTGAGGAGACTCAGACCCTAAAAAACTTCCCAGATGCAGCTGGGAGACCCTAAGAACTTCCTGAACTGTTCTGGGGGCACTCAGATCCTAAAAACCTCCCCAGATTGCAGTGGGGGGACTCAGACCCTAAAAACCTCCCCAGACTGCTCTAGGGGCACTCAGACCCTAAAAACCTTCCCAGCTGCATCTGGGAGCCCTTAAAAACCTCCCCAGACTGCTCTGGGGGGGCTCAGACCCTAAAAACCTCCCCAGATTACAGTGGGGAGACCCTAAAAATCTGCCCAGCTACATCTGGGAGACCCTAAGAACTTCCTAAACTGTTCTGGGGGGACTCAGACCCTGAAAAACTTCCCCAGATTGCAGTGGGGAGACCCTAAAAAAACCTCCCCAAACTGCTCTGGGGGGACTCAGACCCTAAAAACACACCCCAAAGCTACATCCTGGGGTGGGCTGAGGGCTTGGAAGGGGTTCAGGGGACCCTCTTGGGGTGGGAAAAGGGGTCCAGGGGATCCTCTCGGGGTGGGGAGGGGCTGGGAAGGGGTTCAGGGGACCCTTCTGAGGTAGAAAAGGGGTTCAGGGGACCCTCCTGGAGCGGGAAAAGGGTTGAGGGGACCCTCCTGGAGTGAGAAGGGGATTCAGGGGACCCTCCTGGGGTTGGGAGGGGGTTCAGGGGACCCTCCTGGGGTTGGGAGGGGGTTCAGGGGTGTCAGGCAGATGCCCCTTCCTCCCCCTCCCCCCGGCTCTTCCCCCTGCAGGAGCCGAGTCCCCCTGCGATGATTTTTGTCCCCACATTCCCCCTTTTCCCCCCCGTCCTCGTTTTCCTCCTCCTGTAGTTCACGTTAAAACTCGTTTCTCTGCAGCCCCGCGGGCTCTGTCGGTGTTTCGGGGGCTCCCGCTGCCCCTTTTTTTGGCACCTCCCCGGGGGTGTCCCCGGGGCGCGGGTGTCACTCGTGTCGTGAGCTGGGCGTGGGCTCAGCTGATGTGGGGGCGGTTCCTTTGCTTCTGCCCCTCGGGGGCGATTCCGGGGGGTCTCTCCGGGAGTCTTTGCCGCGCGGGATCCCCCCCCGGATTCCCAAAGGTTTTGGTGTCCTGGGAATCCCCCTCCACCCACCCCATTCCCGGTGTTTCCCTCCGCGGGTCTCGAACCCGCGACCTTCCCGAAGCTCCGCCCACTCATTGAATAATCCCTTCCCATTGGTCGAGCTTCCGTGTCAATCACGGCTCATCTGCATAGCCCCGCCCCCTCCCCCTAAAAAAATCCTAAATCCCCCCAAAAAAACCCTAAAAATATCCTAAATCCCCCCCAAAAAACCCCTAAATTCCCCCAAGAAACACCCCCAGCCCACGCCCAGACAAACCCCCGGGCAGGGGAGGAGGAAGAGGAGGAAGAGGCTTTATGGGGCAGGTGATGAGCAGGAGCCAGGGAAGGGGGTAAAACAACCCCAAAACCCCTTAAAAACCCCCTAAATCCCCCCCAAAAACGCCCCATCCCACCCCCTGAGACACCCCCATCCCCCACCCACACAAAGCCCAGGGCAGGGGGGGAGGAGGAGGAGGAGGAAGAAGAGGAAGAGTCTTTATGGGG